AAAATGCTCAGTATCTCCTGTATCCAGCCACACTCCCAGCACAGGCTTCAGGTTGGATCACAAAAGTCAAAAAGAGAGCAGTCACATTCTGAGCTTCTTTTCTCTTAAAAGCTCTTGTGTTCACCCAGGAGTGACAGCTATAGGATTTCCCTCAGATTCATGTATTTACATAGACTGAGATGAGAAAAAATGTGTTCTTGACCCCTGGAGACTTCTGCTCCAGGGAAACCTGCTCCAGTACTCCCATCCCCTATACTAACACTTTTTCCTCTTCTTTACCTGTCAAGCTGATACATTCAAATTTGTCCAAAAACATGCAAACAGTGGAGACCCTCAAACATAAATACAACATCACCAATGACCAAATCAGGCAAAGCCAGGCTGTCAGCACAGACTATGAGAAGAGCGGTTGGGACCGTGGCCATTTGAACCCCAATAGCCACCACAAAACCAAGGAGAGCAGGAATGCGACCTACACCCTCACCAACATAGTGCCCATGAACGAAAAACTCAACCGAGGCAACTGGAAAAAGTACGAGCTGCAAACGATGCGCCAGAAAGCCAAGAACTGTCAAACTGGCAAAACCTATGTCATTGTGGGGGCTGTGCCTGGAAACTCTTCCATTGCCAATGGGAGGGTTAATATACCCAGCCACATCTGGTCTGGTGTCTGCTGCAAGACCAAGAACAACACCTTGAGTGCTTGGGCAGCAATTGCTGACAACAATCAGAACAGGGTCTTGAAAATTACTCTGGGGCACCTGGAGAAGAGGTTGGCCCAGCTGTATGGAATGAGAAAGGTTTCTCTCTTCGACGAGGACTGTCCCCGTAAATAAGCCTCACATCCCGAGTGTAAAAGGCTCGGGGGCTTTTCCCACAGATCACAGAATCACAGAATGCTTTGAGTTGGAATGGACCTCAAGGATCATCCAGTTCCAACCCCCCCCTGCAATATAGCAGGGACACTTTCCACTGGACCAGGTTGCTCAGAGCCACGTCCAACCTGGCCTTGAACACTTCCAGGGATGGGGCAGACACAGCTTCTCTGGGCGACCTCTGCCAGGGACTCACCACCCTCACAGGGAAAAATTTCTCCCTGATATGTAGTCTGACCCTGCCCTCTGCCACTTTAAAGCCATTCCACCTTCTCCTGTCACTCCATGGCCTTCTCCCTCTCCAACTGTCCCAGAGACCCTTCAAGTACTGGAATGGGATCTAAATTCTCCTCAGAGCCTTCTCCAGCTGAACACCCCCAGCTCTCTCACCCTGTCTTCAGAGCAGAGGTGATCCAGTTCTCAGAGTACCTTCATGGCCTCCTCTGGACTCCACCCCAACAGGTTGGTGTCCTTCTCATGTTGTGGGCCCAGGGCTGGAGGCAGCACTGCAGGTGGGGTCTCATGAGAGCAGAGGAGAGGGGAACAAGTCTTGTGCAGTGTCCATCCTGCTCCCTTCTCTGGTGTGTTTCCCGCTCTGGCCCTCAAGGCAACTCCTCCTCCTGCTCTGCTAAAAGGGAGAAGGAGGTGGGCAGAGCCTCCAGCTGGTTTGCTTTGCTGCCCATGCTGGC